TCTTATTAATTCCACTTCTTGTGCACTTGTGCAGTTTTATCCTGCGGATCAAGGAGTGAGTAAGCTTTCCCTTTTGCCGAAGGTATGTGTTCTGGAGGTTGAGGGCGAGCTTACATTTTGTGTGTTTGCCTTAGATGTGTGAAGCTATTTATTTCCATGACAGGTCTTTGCAGTAACAGTCAAGTTCATTCCGAAAGATTCTGAAGAAAAGAAGGCTTCCTTTAATCCCAGACCATATTTTAGACTATATATTAATTGGCTCTTGGATTTTGATGCTGCTCTTTAACTGGTTTGGTATTAACTGTTTTTGTTGGTGCATCTGGCTTTAGGTTCTGACTGCTTTAGCAAATTCTTTCCATGCCCTTCAACCCCTCAAGGTTCCTGGATTCAGGTTATTTTTTCCCTGTTATGTGTTATCGTTGTTCTCCCATGTCTATGGTCAACTCCATGGTCAAGTTATGAATTCTTGAGAGGATAAAAATCTAATTTCGTTTGTTATAAATACTATGTGCAGTTCAAATAATACATGAGTTACTCTTTAAGGAGATATAATAAAAAAGATAGAAAAAAACATACGGAGCACTTATCAGCTATGGCTTAAGTGGCAAATTCTATTTTGTAGAGTGGCCTATAGGTTATAGAACAAAGCAGATGAAGTATTGTGGTATTCAGCGTGTAGAAGCAACCATTTGAGAGTATAATAGAAAACTTGATTGAGAACATTAATGAAAGCTTAAGAATACAAAGGAGCATTAATAACACGAGTTTTAACCGCCGCAATCGCGTCCACCTGCAACCGCTAATGAAGGCGACGAAAATCAGGGACTGTCTCTGTTGGCCTCTCTAATTCTCGTTCTCTTTCTCAACTTCTTGTGGGATCCTCCTTGGTTGAATCAAGTTTTATTTCTTTATAGGATTTCTCGATTATAATTACGTGATTGGCTTTACTTTGATTCATGTTTACACTTTCAATCTTTGGTTTCTCTTAAGTTTTACTTTACCTTGATTATTCTTAATATTAATAATAATCTAAACTTTCATGTCCGTATATATATATATATATATATATATATATATATATATATACACGGAGTATGCACATATATATATCAGTAAAGCTCCAAACAATATAGTGAGGAGGAGAGAATCCTATTACTGGGTTCAGTGGTTAACACTTTGAACAACTGTGAAAAACACAAGATGACAGTGTATTAGTGTAACACCGATTACGGAGTAATGTTAAAACCCAAGATACGACTCTACTATTTCATTGTTCACTAGCATAGAAAAAAATGCTCTATTGCGAGTCTAAAAGTATAAAAAACAGGCTATTACACTTCAGATTTGTGCATATTGAAAAATGACTCAATATCACTTAATCCTATTGTTCTTTCCTATTGATATTGCTCGATGTATTTGTTGATTTTTAACTCTCTGCAGGTACTCAGTGTCCTCTATTTTACCATCTAGAGTATATATGGGGTATGCTATTTGTACTAGTTAATTGCTTCATTTTAGTTTTCACTTTTATTCAGAAAATAAATTCAAAGTGATGTGAATTTTGTAGGTTTTCAAGATTTGATTCAATATATAACAAGTTCTGCATTCTGAGTGTTCTAAGGATGAAGAAAAATCATACATGGAACTTGGGAATTAGCAAACTGCTCAAAGTGTTCTATTTCAAATGCAACCATAATTGCATTATAATGACTTGACTTGGATTGTAAAAGACTTGACTTGGATTTATATTTTATCAACAAATTCAGTATTAGTACTTGATATTTATATTGGTTGAGTATAGATGTTTTACACCGTATAAAGAAGACTGGTGTTATTATGAAAAATACATTGAATGATGTTTTTATTTTTTATTGCAAATTATAATTTTATTTTGGATACGTGGTGTTTGTGTTTCTAAATATCACGTAATTATTATTGCTTCATATAATAGGACAATAGCAATGGTATATTAACCGTTGCTATAGCAAAAAGTTATGCAAAACTATTACATGTCTATACTAACGGTAAATGTAATTACTAACGGTCATTGGTTTGTTGGTACAAGTTTATAAGCTATTCCCACAGGTAAGAAATATGTTGATGTTGGTCTATACCGACGGAACGTATAATGACGATAAAGTTTCTATGGGAATAGCTAGAATTTCCGTTGGTATAGCTAATTGATGTCTATATCAACATTTTTTATATCTATACCAACGATTTTATTAGTGTTGATAAAAGGCAGTTTGTTTGTAGTGTACGCATGCAGTCCTATGCCATGTCTCTTTTGTCAAATGCAGCCCACTTACAATGTTGTCAGATCTAGCCATTAAATATCATCTATTATATCATGTACGCAGTGATTTGTATGACTCACAATAAATGAGGAAAAAAATGTATGACAATAATGTGAGGAGTGGGCCATTAGGGTTTTGTTTTCTTGTCTCGTGCAACCCCTATTATTTGTTCGTCCCTTATCATGTCATGACTATTTTCTTTTATTTTTCAGGTATATAGCTCATACGATACACTCCAAATGGGTGTATCATGCATTCATGCCCCTTTATAACTTTTTGTTCTATTAATATTAAGGTGGGCCAACATAATACCTCGGCTACCATTTTACTCCTAGTTTGGCCTAGCTAGTTTAGATGTTTTCTTTTTCATTTTATTGGGCTCTTATAATTAATAAGATGACCCAAAAAATATATTTGTACTCCCTCCCTATATCCGGGGCCCGAAAAACAATCCAATTAATCATTTATTGATTAAACCAATTACTCATTATTAATTAAATCAATTAATCAATTTTTATAAATAAAACTAACTAGTATATCCAAATAATATATCATTCTCATACCCCTTTTTTGTTCCATTCTCAAGTCCGTAAACTTCTGAAGTCTTGTTTTTGCGGTAGACCAATTCATGAACATACCGACAAGCCATTTTTTATTAACATGATGATATTGGGCCTTTATGGAAGCCCAAACTACTAAATTAGCTGTTTTTTGTGATTACTATTTATAGGTTTGGTTACATTTTATGATAATTAGTGGATTAATATTCCAAGCTCAAATCAAGGGCAATATCACAATAAGCATCAATCGTTCAACTTCTTCTATGATCATCCGCATACGGAATTCAATGGCGGACTCTAGCTAGCGTAAAATGACGGGAACATTGAGTGAAGACGGAAGGGAGTCAATCGACGATGAGGCTTTCTCCATTCTCAATGCTCCATCGTAGATGAGCAGTAGCTTTACGAAGAAGACGATCCCATGAGCGACAACAATGAACCCTTTAGAATCATACTTCTTGTCTCCGTTCTCATTGATCATCATGTTACACGATGTCAATGAGCACACAATAGGATACAACTAACCTATTTAGTGGATATTTGGTATATATATATAAGTCCATATTTTATAGTTTTGCACTGTTTAAAAAGTATTTAAAAATTTATATTTATATGTTTGATAGAACATTTTTATTTTAATTTTCAAAATAAAAGTTTTTTAGAAACTACACTGAGTAAAACCTGAGGAAATTATGTAGTTTTAGCAGTAATTAGTCACAACAGCTTGTTATCCAAACCAAAATAAATCAAACAATTAATTTTTTTATCAAACATGTACAACCTTTTTCGTTTAATATCTTTTCAATTACTTAAAACTAATCGTTACTACAAAGCTAATAAAAATATTTCTTCCAATTAGTTGTGTCAAACATACTCATAAGTGAAATAAGTACATTAAGTAATTTTCATATGGAATGTACTTATTTACCAAAAAGAATATGGAATATAGTGAAATAACTTAAGTTCATTTGGACTAACATATACATATTCACTAATTGGAAATGTTATATACTTATTAAAATTATTAGGTAGTATCTCCGTACATTTTAATTTTAATATGACGGATATCAAGCTACCGGTGGGCGTAGCGAGGGAGTGCCACAAGGGTTAGGTCCCGGATTCGAATCCCGGCAACTGCGATGAGAGGTTATTATAAAAATAATGGTACTATCTGTGGGAGATTTCAACAAATAAGACTTAATCATACTAATTTTCCAAAATTAAGACTATAGATTAGGGTAAGACTTAAGTATAGGAGCTTTGACCAAATTGCCCTTCAATTTAAAACCCCAGCGAAACATCCCTTCAAGCTGTAAGGAGACCTCTGCTGCGCGCCTGGGATTGCTCGAAGAAGACTCAAATCTCTGCTACCCTCGCCGTCGCCTCCTTCCCTTCTTGGCCGTCACCTCGCCCCCTGTCCTGGCCGTCGCCATCGCCTCCTCCCATGTTCCAGCCGTCGCCGTCTTCGTGTCGTCACCCCCTCCCCTCACAATGGTAACACAACAGACTTAAATCGCCTCTGCCGCCTTATTCAATCTTCCAGGTACGTCGCTCCAATTCAGTCGTGTGCATCATTCTCTTCTTCTACTTCTTCACGATTGAGTTGCGCCCGGCGAAGCGTGTATTGTTTCAGATCTGGGCGAGAGCGGCTAGGGTTCGAGTTGTGGGGCGAGTGCGGTGGGCGCGCGGCAATGGCGTAGAGGTACAACGGCCACGATGAGGTGCAAACGCAGCAGGGGCGAGGTACGACGGAGGCGGCATGGTCGAGGTACGAAGGAGGCAGCGGGGGCGCCAACGAGATGTATCGGAATCAATGAGATACGGTGGTGGCCATGATGTGTTTTGGCGGTGGACTCCCATGTGTTCTGCAAAACTTTTGAAAAAATCGGATTCAAAATCAAACTTGCAAACACTAGACAATACATAGACATTAAGTAGTGAGTAAACAGATAATAATTTCGAATAATAACTCAATAGCAAGCAATACATAGACAGTAAGGATAAAATTAGAAATTTAAAATCAAGTTTTCAAAATTAGAACTGCATAACTCTTACGGAAGGAAAAAACATACGTATGTACTATTTTTATAAAAATGCTTTGATTATGAGAGATACCTCTCGTAATATTGAATTCTATTCGGATAAAATGTATACACAATTACACACATGTTTGTCCTTGGTCTCCCCAGTTACTTTTGCCCCGTTAAACTTTTCTTCAGTCAAACTCAACTGACGGACAGACAGAGCTTTGCGATCTGAAAAATGGAGTCGGAAGTCTCATCCGATGAAACATCCACGGTCCCCGGCCTTCTCCCCCTTGCCTCCGCGTCTCAACAGCCATATGTCTCCGAACTCCTCTCATTCACTCTTGATCGCCTTCATAAGGTCCTCCTAAGCACAAGTGTCAGGGCATACATCTCTGTATTTAATAGTACCTGAGTGAATTTCTATACAATTTCAGGAACCGGAGCTGCTACGAGTCGATGCGGAACGAATTCGGAGGCAAATGCAGGAGGTGGCGGTGGTAAACTACCGGGCGTTCATCTCCTCGGCCGAAGCGCTGCTTGCTATCCGGGAGGAAGTTTCTTCGATTGACAAGCACCTTGAATCTATGGTAATTTCCTTATACTGTGTGCATTGCTGATATAAAGGAATGGGGGCGGGAATGAGTTTGAGACAAAGGGGCAATGAGTTTCATACACTCACCCCTCTTGGGATGTGTATGGCTGAATGCCCAAAAGCGGGAGATGAAACCAATTTTGTAGTATTATCAAACACAATCTGTCATTCCATTCCCATCGCTGTTTCACCAAACCTCCCTACCAAGCACCTCCCACTTTTTTTATTGTGAAATTTTATTTTAATTGTAACTAAGCTTCTAGTCTCCACTTTAGGAATTGAAATTAAAAAAAGAAATAAGTAAAACTTATCGAGTCACGGTAACTTTTCATTTTGTCGGAAGAAGCACTAATTAAAGTACTTTTATTCTGGAGAATGAGTTGACCAGATTTTGTAGTAGTTTGTTGAAGGCAAAATTCATTTGGAATTACACTTTATGTGGCGGTGTTGAGTTTATTTGAGTTGGCCTTGCATTGAATATTTTCACATTGTTAACATGTAAAGTTCTTGTATATGGTTCAAAGGATTCTTGCACAAATGTTAACTGTTGTACTGTCATGATAGGCTTACTTTGCTCAATGCAAGATAATGTATATGCAGCACTGGTTTTGTTCTATTGTAGTAATGAGTTAATGATATTGATGATTGGATTAATCATCTACAAATGCACATGATTGCTCAAAGTCACAATATTAGCCTAAACTTCTATAATGAATTGAGCAGTGTACTTTATTCACCCCAAGGCACTAGCAATTATAGTATCCTTGTTCATGTTCATATTCATATTCATATTCATTACTTGTTTAATAGATATTAAATAAGGATGTGATGCGGCAGATATCTCTAAGTATGAAAACTAACTAAAAAATGTTTTTTTCGTGTTTTGATATTTTGACTTGTCATTTTGCTGCGTCAACTTTGTTGTTTCACATGTGCACGTATTCTCAACTTTGGTTAAGTTCATGTTTTTGGTAACGACATCATATTGATATGCTACATTCTGTAACTACATTGATATGCTATATGCTACATGGTGTGAATGGATATTTGATTAGTAAGCCATATTGGTATATGTTTGCCTTCTCCCGTTTTTGTGTTCTTGAATTTTGGGGATATGTCCCTTGGAGGGTTGGCCCTAGACCTTGCTTCTTGACCCCCCTTTGTACAATTTTTTGAATATTAATTTAACATGGGTATTCTTTAAAAAAGCCATATTGATATGCTATAACCCTAAAGGTGATAATAATCTCACATGCACCAAGTTGAAGGAAAATAAAGCTGTATAAGAATAAGTTATTAATAGCACATGCACCACTTTGATCATGTGGGTGCTACACAATAAAAATGAAAAAAGAGTCTCCTTTCACAGAAATAGCTGTATCACACTTTCACTGTTTTTGGTACTGCAACAATTGTTTCAAAAAGACTGCGTTGTCATGAGTTCTCCTATCCATTTTCTCATTTTGTTTTGTGGTGTACTTTCAGCCTATTACTTAGCTGGTTCTTTTATCAGTTTATGATCTGATATCACATATTAGTAATGTAGTGTGTATAAACAATGGGGTTTATTTGGAGATACTTGATGAGAACGGAAAATAAAAATCAACGGTAGAAACCGTTGCCCAGAGCCAATAGGCTAAAATCCAATTTTAATAACTAATAAACAAGAATGAAGCCCAACAAGGGGTTTAAATACCCTTCTAGTAACAGATCCAAACAGAAACCCTAATCGAGCCCAAATTAAGTAAACCCTAATTAGGCCCAAATTAACTCTACTAAATGTTGTATTAATAATAGGCCCAAACTAGAAAATATAACATAAAGTTTATAGTAAGTAAAACTAAAACCCCAGCCCACAACCAGCCCACGAAGGTGGGCTCAAGCCCGTCCCCACCTACAGTAAACTGACAGAGGCCTGGGTCTCGGACCCTCCTCTTCCGTACAGCCCCTGCTTTCCCTGCTCTCTATCAATACTTCCCTATGTCTCAGGGAAGCTGGAAAAATGAAACCTTCATTTATAACATCTATGCCGGTGATACCATAATCTTGTTATTTGCAGGATTTATCGACAAAGTAGTTTAACTTTGTTTCCACTCTTCGTACTTATGGAATGTTCAGCCAATAATTTAATGTAAAGATGAAGTATTTTGATTGTGTCTCTTATTGTTTTTCAGATAGATGAAATTCCTAAGCTTACTTCTGGTTGCACCGAGTTCATTGACTCTGCCGAAGAAATCTTGGACAAGAGAAAGATGAACCAAACATTGCTTGCAAATCACAGTACCTTACTTGACTTGCTTGAAATCCCTCAGCTTATGGATACGTACGTCTTTGACAAAGTTGATGGATAACTTATTTTGTTAATCAAAATGAGCGAAGTGTTAGGTCTCGCAGATCGCATTTTTGTAAAGAGTCTTATTTTTTATGTAAGATTTTGAGTTTGATTTTCTGATGAGGTATTTAAGAAAATGGCCTCTATGCTGCAAGACCTGAAATGGCCAATGCCATTTGCTTTTCTTTGTAGGTTATTATTAATATGTAGCTCATGTGTTATTTGTATTCATGTTATAAAATTGAATGTATAAGAAGAGTTGATGCTTGTTTGGTATCATATACTTTTTTGAATGTGCATGTGAGTATATCCATGTCTTATCGTGGTGACGTGGTGTGATGCCATTAAATGATTCTTATACATGATGTTTATTTTTTGGTTCATACATAACACATTAGACTTTTCACGCATTTTTTCTTTTTTTGTTGATGGGGCAACTAATGAATGCATATGCTTTTGTGTTAAAGATGTGTTAGGAATGGAAATTATGATGAAGCTCTTGATTTGGAAACATTTGTTGGCAAGCTTTCAACAATGCACCCGAAGTGAGTTCTTTCTAACTGTTTTCCACTTTCCTTTATAATATTCAAATGTGTACATACTATATAGATGATATAAGGATGTATTAACTTCCCTTTCACTAGTAGTATGGGGAAAAAGTGGACTAACTATCCATCTTTCATACCTTTTTATCTTTCTGTCCAAAGATTGCCAGTCATCCAAACTCTTGCAGCAGAAGTAAGGCAGACCACCCAATCTCTTCTTTCTCAGCTTCTCCAAAAACTTAGATCAAACATTCAGGTAAGTTTAGGTGATCGCATGATCTCATTCATCTTCTTTATCTTTTTATCTTTCTTATCTTATCTTTTCGATTTTTATCTTTATCTTTATCTTTTTTTAATCTTTTTTATCTCATTTGTCTTGTCTTATATTTTTATCCTTTCTTATCCCCTTTTTTATCCTTTTTCGCTCCGATTTCATATATCGGTTCATGTTAGCCGACCCAAACTCTTTTGGGACTAAGTCTTGGATGTTGTTGTATTCCCATTTGTGTAGTTGCCAGAATGCCTCCGAATCATTGGATACTTGCGACGAATTGGAGTGTTCAGTGAGTATGAAATGCGCCTACAGGTAGCTTTCATTGAAGATCCTGTCTAGTGTTGTTCCATACCTTCAATTAATGTATATAATAATTAATGCAACTTTTCAAATTCCTTACCATAATACTCTTTTACCCAACAGTTTCTAAGATGCCGCGAGGCATGGCTTACTGGCATTCTTGATGACTTGGAACAGAGAAATGCTTACGAATATCTCAAAGGGATGATAAACTGTCATAGAATGCATCTTTTTGATGTTGTTAACCAATACCGTGCAATATTTTCTGATGATACATCAGGAAGGGAAGAGAATTGTGATGGTGGGCTTTTATTCAACTGGGCCATGCATCAGGTTTCTTCCCACCTCAGAACTCTTAAAGTCATGCTTCCCAAGATCAATGACGGAGGATCATTGTCAAATATTATGGACCAATGCATGGTGCGTACCTTTGTATTAATGTAATTTCCATTTTTCCTAATTTTGTTTCTTCGGCCATGGTTGGACGGACATCTATGCAGCATTTGTCCGTGACTTTATAATAATCATCACTGTGGTCTTGGTGGTCCTAGTGAAGAAAACTCCAGTGACAATGAAGATTCGGATGTAATATACTATCGTATATGGTTTAAAACATTCAGAGTTGGGAGAATCATACAAATTCTAGTGTCAGTGATGTGTATTCTTTGATAATAGCAAAGAGAGTTTCATCTACGATGACCTCTGTTATCTAATCGGCAAGTACTCGGCTAGTCGCTACTCGGACGTACACCTTTATGTGTTGCTTACCTACTCATTCCATTCCAAAATCCCCAGTTAATTGCTGAGCACTCACCAATTTTCACTACTCGGTGACTCATTTTACATGCCGAGTAACTCGGTCATACTAAAATGTGACTTTTTTTGAAAGATTGAAAGTGAGTACGGGGATATGAAAACAATAGGAACTTAGTTTTAGTAAAACGGAAAAAAGCATTAAAAAATAGAAGGTTTGGAAGTATTAAAATCTAAGATTTCACACAAAGGCTTTGTGTCTCTGTGAGTTCTTTGGCATCTTCAGATCTTCTTAGAATGTTTATTACAAATTTGTGTTCTAAATATAGAAGAAATTTACGATATTAAAACCTTCTTGAAAGTCTTTTCAAAAATCTTCTTAAAATATTTTTGGTGTATACTAGTTATTGCGTGTTGTTATTTTCTCCTTTATACACATGATGACTTATTTGACCATTGCTACTAAAAATGTTGTGACATATTCTTATAAATACTCCCTCCGTCCCTTATAACCTTGCCAACTTTCTTTTTTGGTTGTCCCAAAAACTTTGCCATTTTCCCTTTTAATCAATCAATTTGAGGTTCCTGTTATTTCTCTCTCCTCTGCACAAACCTTTACTTTATTATTTTACGTGCCAGTCAAACTTGTCAAACTTTTAAGGGACAGAGGTAGTATTTACTAGTAGAGGACCACTAGTCACCGAGTAGCCCTCGAGTACCGTTTTATCTACTTAGATGATAGACATTTAGACAATTGTTCTACGTGAAATTGAAAATCATATTTTTTAGGGAACCTTTTTCTATCCTTATCAGAATTTGACCTTTAAAATACTTCGCTCGAGACTTGACCGACTGCTCAGTCTCTTTTAGGTTTCTAAGCTCCTTACTCATGGAAGTTTTGGCATTGGCTGTAGTTCTCTAGGGAAAATATGATGTTCGCTTACAATACGTTTAACGTGTATGTGTAACGCATCTAGGTTATCCCAATGTGCCCCTTTATATAATCACACTGGTTGGCCCTTGAGCCCTCTCCCCTTAATGAGGCTGTTACAAGTTCAAAATATGGTTCAGCATGCAATATGTTTAACGTGTAACACATCTAGGTTATCCCAATGTGCCCCTTTATATAACCACACTGGTTGGCTCTTGAGCTCTCTCCCCTTAATGAGGCTGTTACAAGTTCATAATATGGTTCAGCATGCAATTAGGCATGGTTGGACCTTATTATCCTTGGCCTTTCAGGTTTTATCATTTTCATCATGGTTCATTCACCCTTTGTTTACAGTATTGCGCTATGGGACTTGGTTGGGTTGGACTGGACTTTCGTGGCTTGCTTCCACCTCTTTTTGAAGAGTAAACTCTCATCCAACATCGTTTCATTTTTGACAATTGTATAGTTGTCTGAAAGACAAATTATGTCAATGTGGTTACTTGAACAGGGCAGCCCTGAACCTATTCACCAAGAACATGAAAACGGCAGTTGAGAATTTTCAGGTACACATGCCTAAAACATGTACGGTTATGCAGCTTCTTTTTTAATCATAGGCAGGCTATACTTGGCAAACAAGCTACCTGATAGCTGATAAGTCAGGGGATATCTCATAAGTTATTTTCCAACTTATAGCTTACCTTATAGCTTAAAAAATTGCCCTAAATATGAGTAGAAGCATTGTGAAATTTCAAAATAGTAGCATTATGATTTTATTCCCTAAATAGGATTAATTACTGTTATGCCTGGACAATACTGTCAACTGTGACATTAATATTGCCATAAGTTTGGTGATACCAAAATATGATAGTAAAATTTCAGGATGACATTAAGTTACTCCTACAACAACAATATCCAAGCCTTAATCCCAAAAGAGTTTCGGGTCGGCTAACATGAATTTGACACATGAAAACGGAGCAAAAAAGATAAGAAAGATAAAAAGATAAAAAAGATAAGGAAATATAAAAAGATAAAAATGATAAGATAAAGATAAACATAAAAAAGATAAGATAAAATAATAAAAAAAATAAGATAAAAGGATAAAAGGATAAAGATAAAAGGAGATCAATCCTCCACACGAACCACACAAATATTCTCGCTCCACTTTAATCTCTCCAAAGCCATACTCTCATCCAATCCAAAAGCATATCACTCCTGATTAGGAAAAGAAACATAGTACTCCCCTTTTGGAATTTCACATTGTTTTGACTCCTATTTCTGAAATTTCCCAATAACTTATAGCCGATAAGCTAAGTTACTGCCATACTGTTTGGTAAAACAAGTTACCTGATAGCTGATATGTCAGGGAATATCTCATAAGTTGATTTCTAACGGATAGCTAATAGTTTATAACTTATAGCTGATATGCTAGCTACTTTCGTATACTGTGGTAAAAAAATTAGTTGATAAATATTAGCTAGTTTAGAACAGTACAAGGATATGCATGAAATAGGTTTAAGTACAGTTGAGATTAAAATGGAACTATATACAAATAAATGCATTTGCTTATTTAAGAAGCCACTTCATGAAGCTTATTAAATAAGCTCACACCTTTCAAGTAAGTGGGCAACCAAATAAAGCTTATCTAAAAACCATTCTTAAAAAAGCCAAGAACTTCTTTATGCCATGCTAAACATAGAATTGGCTTTTTTTCTTTCGTTAGAAGCTGTATGATCCATAGAACTAGACATTACGCCTCTGACACTGTTCCAGGTGGTCCTTGATTCTCATCGTTGGGTACCATTGCCATCAGTTGGGTTTCCAGCGAGCAGCTTGGGTGATGAAAGCCAGGAGGATGTCACTCCTCCTGCAAGTCTAATGGAGCATCCGCCTCTTGCTGTTTTTGTTAATGGTATTTTTGTTCATGTGATTTTGAACTGTAAAGAGCCTATGCCTTGGTAATGAATATAAATAAATTCATTGTATGGTAGGTGTATCTGCTGCAATGAATGATTTGCGTCCCTGTGCCCCTTTAAGTTTGAAGCACGTGCTCGCTCAAGAACTAGTCAAGGGATTACAAGCCGTTTCTGATTCTTTGCAGAGATATAATACAACTCGTATGCTTCGAGAAAATGAGTCTGTGCTTTTCATCTCACTTTGTCATGCATTTATGGAGGTAAATAAAATTTTCAATTAAACTCGGAATGTTTGAAAAATATAAATAAATAGTTTAATGTATTCAAATCACATCGTACCAATCTGATTCGTGCGTATCTCACGGTCGGTCCAATGGAAAGGAACTTGGAAAAGTATTGTTGAAGGAGACTTATTATTATTATTATTATTATTATTATTATTATTATTATTATTATTATTATTGTTGTTGTTGTTGTTATTATTATTGTTATTATTATTGTTATTATTATCATCGTCATCATCATCATCACTAGTATCATTATTCTCAGGTTTCTTTATTATTATTAGTAATTCCTATATATACAGGAATATTTTTTAGTCAATGCTCTTAATAGCAATATTATAATTGGTCGTTACTCTAATACTGGTTTCCAAGACTCAGTAAAACAAGTAAAATAGAGATGCTACAATCATTAGTACTGAGTATATTTTAGACTAATATCATTAAAAATTATTGAGCTGTTCTTATAGGGGTGGCAATGTCAGACGCCCCCTTCTCTTGCATAAGGCGGAGTAGTTCTTTATTTATTCAATCTTCTTATCTCCCGATTATGCCTGTAGCACTACCTGCCTACCCGTTTACCTCACTTGTTTCCCAGGTTGCTTTTACACATTGTGTGACATGCTTTGGTCGTTGTTACCCTGGCGGAGCTTCTCTAATAGCAGATGCCAAGATTTTATTTGAAGGAATTACCAAGCTATTGGCAACCTCTACCTCTCTTAGAGAACTACCCAAACTGAGCCACACTGTTGAGAACAAGATTGTACCTGACAACAATGGCAACTTGTCTTTGGTTGAAAATGGTGGCGGTGAACAAAGTGAGGATATTACTACTCCTAACTCTGAAGAAAAAGAAGGGGAAGTCACTGAAGAGAACAAGGCTGTTGACACATAACTTGAGAGTTTTTGCTACATCATTTGGTGCCAGAAATTTCAGCAACTCAGAATGCAAGTTTCTTGTGCATGAACAGGGCACCAAGATATTCTCCTTCGCATAAGTTTCTGTATTGATGGATTTGATGATGATAGCGGATTTGGGGGGTTAAATGTGTTACAATTTACAAATTCTATACTGTATATTTATATGGTATCCTTTAAGGGTATAGGAACATTGGTGGTTTTGATTGGTTCAAGAGGCGAGAATATGACATATGAGAAGAAGACACCCCATTCACTTGAGCATGCTTAGCAGGGTACGGGTACCATAATTTCTAGAGTTTATTGGTTCTCTGCAAGTGGCATAGAATTCTCAAACGTCCAATATATATTGTGCAATTCGGTTTGTAAACTATTTTATTTCAATTTTCAAACCAAATCTACGAATAGAATTTAATTTACAGAAAATTCCGGCAGTCAGTTCATGACTGCTGCCAGCACCTATAGTTGCCACCCAATGTACTAAGTATAATTTATGATTTTGTTGGATGGAGTCTACGGTGGATTAGAGCAAGTTTTGCTTAGAATGAGGGCCTGAGGGGTGGTGGACAGGTTTCCGGTCTTGAGACTTGAGAGCAGTCCGGACCAAAATTCATCAGTTCTCTGACCATAATAGAATATAGATTAATAGAAATCGCCAAATCGGTTCATTGGTTTTGGGTCGAAGTTGTAATCAGGGCCATCATAGATAGTGTCTAAACTCTACTACTCTAGTGCCCATTTGCACAAGGCCCCATAAAAAATTCTACTCACTCCGTCCCGCTAACAATGAATTTATGACACGCAAATTAATAAAAAGTGGTTTATGTGGTTGATATTGAATTGATAAAGTAAGAATAAAGTAAGAATGATTTAGAACTACACAAACTTTACCAAATTTGGTAGGAGACAATCTTAGTGGGACACACCGATAAGGTAAAATGGGACAATCATAGCAGGACGGGGCAGTAATAAACCACGTAATTACCACTTCACCATTTAATAAACCGAGAGGGGCGTGATGTATTATAATTCAGAAAGTGGAAAGAAATGAAAACAAGAAAGCTAGAGAGGGCGATGTAAGTATGCATGTAATTAACTGGTGAATGAGATTTTGCTACATAATTTTTACACAATTCTAAGGGATAATGCTCTAAAAATAACAAAGCTTTTTTTAAAAATAAAGCTTGATTTTTATTAACACTAGAGAAATGTATCAAAGGAGTACTTCAAGAGTACTAGTCTTTTAGTATAAATTGTGTCATACCTTCATCAAGATGACTATGACGTTATTAGAGGTGCTTATTACATCGAAGATTATGAGGTTTTGAATGATATGGTAGCGTGGGTTTGAACAAAATATACTCTGCTTATTAATCTAATCTCTGCGCCATATTTCCAAGTTAACACACCTCCACCATTCATATGCATCAGACTTGTCCAAAAAAATGCATCAGACTTCTTCAGATAACTTTTGTTCTCTTTTGCATTAAATTTTATGATTTAAATTCATTGTAATGAAAATCCAGCACAGTTTTCACGGCAAAATTAACAATATATTTATGATCAGTCATACATTATTATGATGATTAGAGAAAGGAGGGGATTTCCATATCCAAGAGAGGAACATTGAAACAAACATAGTAAAGAACTGCAAGACCATCAATCCATCATTCCTTAACGGTGAACATTCAAAACACGAAAAACTAAGACTTAAGAGCGCAAATGTTGATCAATTTTAACCGATTTTGACCTCCACGGTCCTTGGCTTCTTCGGCTCTGGCGGTGGCAGCTTCTCCACCGTCACAGTCAGCACACCATCCTGGCAAACCGCAGATATCTTCTCCAGATTGGCATTTTCCGGGAGCACGAACTTCCTCATAAACTTGCCAACCCTCCTCTCCATTCTCACATACTTCACGCCCTCCTTCTCATCTGCCTCGCGCTTCCGCTCTCCGCTAATCGTCAGGACATTGTCGTTCTCGACCTGCACCTTGATGTCGCCGGACTTCAGCCCCGGCATGTCGATGATGAAGACGTACGAGTTCGGGTACTCCTTCACGTCCGCCGGTGTCGCCGCCATGGCCTTGGCGTCGAGCACAAAAGTCTGTGAAGGGGCGCTGTTGTTTGATGACTTGTCGTCGGCGGCGTAATCGAAGATGTGGTGAAGTGGGTGGAGGAGAGGGTGATCGAACCCCATCAGTCTGAGATCCATTGTGATCGAGTCGATTGCTTAGCGTTTGGTTGATGCTCTATAAGAGATTGAAGATGACAGTTTCGGATTACTTGGGAGAAAAAGTGCGAGACCATGGATAATTATACAAGCCGAAGAGAAGCTTCGGGAAGAACCGGGTTAGGCTTCCGACGTTCTAGCACTTTCGACTTTCGAGTCGAAGCTTTGGACCTGCAAGGGCATAAGAGTCCAAAAAGTTCTAGAAGTTACGCGAATTGATGTTTTATACTGACGGGTCCAACACTTGAATGTAATGTACCCGCAACTTTTTTCCCTTTAATTCTGTTAAAAATTGACTAACTAACAAGAATAATTACACATTTAATTAATTTTAAAATAATCTCACATTTACATCTTATTTTTTTCATTGTATTTTGATCGGTTGATGATCTGCTATATCCAGGGCCGTAGATGAGGGCGTGCAAGAAGTACTATTGTACAAGGCCTCTCGATTTAAGAAGGCCCAAAATTGTAAATATAGTCTACATAATATAATAAATCTTTATTTATTTGATTAAAAATTCCTATCTCGTATTTTTTAAAAAAAAAGCATTAAATTGTAATATTTATATGTAATTAAAATACAATTGTTAATTACAATTGTGTAATTTATCTATTTCACAAGGCCTAGTTACATTAATTAGCACAAAAGCCCTCGTACAGAATGGAACGAGCTTGTAACTACTTTCTTTTTCATACTTTGTCATTATTTACGTTTCTTAATATATTCTCTTTTCTACGTTTTCATTTACCTTACACCTCTACACTACTCCTACTATTTTCTTCATAAAACCCACAAAAGACCTAAGGAGACTATTATTTAAAAACGGTGAGAGTATTAATATAGTGTTTTATACTTTAGGGCCTCATATTCAATTTTGCACAGGGCCTTTTGTATGTCTGAACCGGCCTTGGCTATATCATGTTTTTTACACTTTCTTTGTAAGCCTTAAATAAATAATCTTACCTTTCATAAATCTGCTTAAAACGGTCTCATGTTTCACTTTTTCTTTTTTCCTTCCTAAAAATTCTTTCTTTATTTTCATCCATAGACACTTTTTATTCCTTTTTCTACCCTTTTGTTCTTACTTCCTCCGTTCTTTTTTAATTGCAATGTTCCATTTTTCACGCTTGTCAGCACACAAGTTTGATCAATAATTTTTTCATTCCTTATTAGTAAAAATTTAAAAAAGTCAGATTTTAAAAATTTAAAATGAGAGGAATTTAAAAACATTTTTCGAAATCTTAATCTATAATACATTAATAAATAAATTACAGTCAAAATAGAATATGTGAATAGTTTAAAAAGTCTAATGTTGCAATTAAAAGAGAACGGATGTAGTATTTCTTTTCCATTTTTATTGTTCTATTTCTTATTCTATTAGGGGAGTGTTTTTTTTTTGTAAAATTTCCTTCCCAAATAGATCTTTTTGTCTTTTTATTTTTTTCCCATATTTATATTTCATTTCACTTTTATGTTTCTCTTCATCAATCATTCTATTCTCATTAAAGATCTTTTTCTCACAAAAAATGATCCATTTCTCACTCTACTTTTTGTTAAATTTTCTTTTTATTTTCATTTTCCTTTTTTTTTCTTTTTACTTTTTTTTATGTTTTTCTCTTCTTTCTTGTTATCTTAATTCAGCCATTAATATAAGTCCACACATTAATTCCAACAACTATGTGAAAAACACTATGTGACAAAAAGATTAGGGAAAAGTTAAATTAAAAGATATAAAATATTACATTTTCCGGAATGTTTTATTTGTCTTTGCATTTCCCAAATGTTTTATTTTTCCATAATCTTTTTTATCACATAGTTTTTTCTCACAATTGATGAAATTAATGAGTAGATTTACTTAGAAAAATATGATACTAAAGAAAGGAAAAAAACATATTGATGGTGGAATTAAGATAACAAGAAGAAAGAAAAGAAGAAAGAAGCCAGGAAAAACATAAAGTAACAAGAAGAAAAAAGGGAAAAAGTGAAAAAAAAAGAGTAGAATGTGAAAAAAAAACTTTAATAAGAAGAGATTGATTAAAAAGAAAAACGTAAAAAGGCAAATGAAATAAAAGTACAGGAAAAAAGAAAAACACAAAAAGATCTATTTTGAAGGAAATTTTTACAAAAAAATATTCTAAATGAGAAATTGAATAATAAAAATGAAAAACAATTACGAACAAAAGGATGAAAACGGAATAAAGAAAGAAAAATTTTAGGGAGAAGAGAAAAAATGAAACATGCGACAGTTTTGAGCAGATTTGTGAAAAGTGTGATTATTTATGTAAGATTTTCAAAGAAAGAGCAAAAAACCTGATATAGTAGGTCATCAGCCGATCATGGTCCAACGAAAGATGAGGTGCAAAAGTGAGATTATTCTGGAATTACATAAAAGTTACTTTATTATGAGAACACCAGTAAAAGGTGATATTATTTTTGTTAATTTTTTCATTAACTCTATTGGTAACCCCAATTTGTGATTTGTGATAAAATTAAATAAAATGTACTATCTGCCGTTCTTTAATAGTTGCAATAATTTGATTGTAATTATATTTAATTATGTATTAGTAAACATTATAAAAAATTAATATTTTTAAAATTAACACTAATAGAAATTTACATAATATTTTAATTAATATTTTAGAATCTATCGTCGACTTTCAAAGTAATGAGTGAAATGACACGTCGATGGTCACCTCCATAGAAGATACTACCTCCGTCACTTAAAACTTTGTCAAAATTGATCAGTACGGAGAATAATAAAGTAAAAATTGTGTGGTTGAGATTTGTGTAGAGGAGAGAAAAATAACAGAAACCACAAAATAATTGATTAAAATGAAAAGTGGCAAAATTTTTTGAGACGTCCCAAAAAGGAAAGATGACAATGTTTTAAGGGACGGATGGGGTATTATTTTGTATGCACATAACATTGGATTGTTGTGTTTTGGTAGTGTAATAAAGAACAAATTGTCACGGACACGCTATTTTTTCTATGCTCACTTGCCAAGTATAGTTAAAAATAATTTTTTTGAGTCACAGTTGATGTGAGTTTTAGCACTTCAAATATATGCATATAATACTGGCTATCATCCTCTCACGTGCCCTGTCGGGTCAGGGTGTGGAGACTCCGAGGGTGGGAGATTCCACCTTTTTTGGATCAAAGTAAATTAATTAAAGTGATGCGAAATGGGTTTGAAACAAAATTCCAATTTGAATCGCAAAATCGTACGTAAAATTGAGTTTGCAAAATAAGATGAAATCGTAATTAAGTTTTTTTTTTGAAAGAAAATCACTCATTTATTAATAATAATGAAAGTAAACAAAGACAAAGCAGAGCAATAGCTAAGAGGAATTCTGAAATGAGACATAGAATTGACCAGCTCCGAAAGGCAATGCCAGATCACTAACTCCGTGTAATGGTAGGTTATTCTATTAGCATCACTGTGCTTGCTACTAAGTGAGGAATATAAAAAATCGAAGTTCAAAAGGTGTAAAGAAACAAAAGAACCACAACTCCTGGTTTTACCAGCCACCAACAAGGGAAAAGATGTTTTGCCAGCCATCGGGAAGGGAAAAGAGGTTTGCCCAGTCACCTCCAAAGGAAACACCTGCTCACAAGATTCAAAAGAATTCCAAGCGGTGCTGATCTAGTAGCACCGCCGCAAAGTTGTTTTTTGGTCTGATTCCATCAACATCCACGCTGACCTCTAGCACCTGGATCGTGGCTAGATTTCCTAACCTGCTGCACTTCCGGTTCACATAGCCCATCCAAGCAGTCACCACACCCGACTGGTCAAAGCTAACGGGGACAAAAACGCCCTACAATGGAGGGGAACAAAAACGCCGGATATACCGGGAAAGAAAACAAACTAAAATTATCACCTTTATTCGATATCTACCTTGTACGTTGATCTCCTTCGCATACCTCACTTCATCAAGAACGATCAAATGAGATATCGTAATTAATTTCCGGCACGTATTGCTCAAACCCGCATATCCCGGGCAAAATCGGCACCTAAGGGGTTTTAAGGTGCAAAAGGGATTCGGTCCACGGATCTTACACGCTGCACTACCTGCATAGGTGCTTAAGTACCAACTCGGCAGCTCCAACTTGTTGAAATCTAATGCTTCTTCTATGTATTTATCCTTTACTCAATATCATTGCATCTTTTTTTGGAAGAATTTGGCTTAAATTGAAATCCCAACATTCAGAGTATGGGTAATCTGACAAATAGAATCTTGACAACCGCTGTCTCGCGAACCAGACTCAGAGTTAATCACCTTATCCAAAACAATATAACTCGCTGATCCATTAATGGGCATAAATGAGCCATAAACGGTTACCCTAATTCCACTGTCACCCACATCCAAACTCAATGTCTTACAATCAATAATCAAAATAGCAAACCAAAATGAAAAACAAACAGAACAGTCTAAAAAATAAAAGAAGCTAAAATAAAAAATACTAGTCTGCCTCCCAATCTGCTTGCTCTGCACCCTTAACAAGATTCCTGGCCTCTGGTTCTTAGTCTTCATAGGCGGGCCTACTGCTCAAAGCCCGCCTCCTTCCCGTTTTTTGTCCCATCTAGTGCCATATTTTCCTTTCCTTGCAGATCATCTTCCTGTGTCTTTCAGAGCCTCCTACGCTTTTGTTCCCCTGTGCCTTTTTCTTTATTCTCACCTCCTACACCTTTTGTTGTACTCTGTTCTGACTCAACCCTTGATTCTTTTCTCCCGACTCTCATCATATCCTCGATTTTAGCCCCTTCCCCGTACCCTTGGTCCCTGCCCGAGCTTGATGAACCCTCCAGCAACCATTGGTTTCTCCCTGTATGACTCGTCTTCCCTCCAATACCTGCTCTAAGATGAACTCCAAACTTTTTCTCCAAAACAAGATCTTCTTCGTAGTTCAAGTGGCAAAATTTGTCTGAGTGACCAATTAATCCACAAATAAAACATAAGTTTGGCAATCTCTCACATTTAAAATCAACCCAGTAACTTTTTCCATCCTTCTTCAGGTTAGTACCTCTTTTCAGAACTTTTTCCACATTCATACACACTCGTATTCTCATATAGGCCTCCCACTTTTCACTATTCTGATGATCAACGTATTTTATAAACTTTCCTATAAAGTTGCCC